AGAGAGAGATTTCCTGGATGATCGAGCATCAAAATACTGAGAGAGAGAGAGAGAGGAGAGAGAAGAGAGGAGAGAGAGAGAGAGCGTGTGTGTCTGTTTAGGTGAAAGTCACAGAGATTAAACCACCAGATTATTAACCATCACACACACACACAACCGTCTCCAGTGCAGAAATCACCCACCAGGTCAACTCTGGTTGATTATTGAATTATTGATTATCATAGTCTCTCTGTTCTCAGGCAAACTTCTGCTCATCTGTCGATGGAGAAAAGTTCAATGATAATTTACGTCCTGCCTGAGGTCATCCAACTACCAACACCAAGTATTAAGCCTGTCCACCTGAGCTCAGGTCCAGTGTCAATCACTTGCTTAACTGGTTGATGTAATGAGATTTGAGCGTTTAGGTGTTTGTGTGTCCAGTTTGACCTAGAAATAATAATGTTTAAAGCTATGTGAAACAGGAAGCCAGTTTGTTTGTTTCCTTATAAAAACAGACAACAACACAGAAAGGATAAGCTAAATGTGTGTTATTCTAAAATTACAAAAAGATTTGTACAGTGTTAAATTGTTGTAGCAGATAGTGTGTAGTTTGGTACAGTGATTAATAAAGTTGTGTTTGTACAGTGATAATAAAGTTGTGTGTTTTTTTTATACAGTGATGAAAAAAAAAAATAGTTGATATGATAACAGTGATAATAAAGTTGTGTTGTACATTGGATAATAAAGTTGGTGCGTTTTACAGGAGATTAAGTTCTGTTTGTACATGTTAAATAAAGTTTTGTGTTTGTAACAATGTTAATAAGTTTTTTTGTACAGAATTGTTTGTAAGTGTAAAAATAAAGTGTTGTGTATATGTGATTATAAAGTATATTGTGATTATGATAAGTTGTGTTGTACAGTGTTAATAAAGTTGTGTTTGTAAGTGATATAAAGTTAGTGGGTATTGTACAGTGTTAAATAAATGTAGTATATATGTACGTGAATAAGGTTTGTTTGTACAGTGAAGGGTGATTATAAGTTGTGTTTTGTACAGTGTTAATAAAGTTGTGTTTTACATGTGATAATAATGAAGTATTGTTTGAAGTGATAATAAAGTTGTGTGTGTACATGGATTTAATTAAAGTTGGTGTTTGTACAGTGATATAAGAGTTGGTTTAGCAGTTAATAAAGTTAGTGAGTGATAAAGTTTGTTACAGTGGTTGCGAATAATCCTAACTAACTGATCACTAATCCAACAAAACAACCCAGACTGGTTTCACACATGCAGCCTTTTTTTATTGCAATTTAGCTCTCTGTAGTTTATAATAATAAATTATAATACTATTAAATGAAATGATTTCTACACTTATTGTCACATATTTGCATCACTTTCAGGAATCAGAGAAATAAAAAAACGGAGCAGGATGATTCAAACCATAAAATAATCTTCAGATATACCAGTTCAGACTGCAGGTCAGGAACTGTGTTTAAACCTGCACTCTTCTCGTAAGCAGGCCAGCAGGGGGCCAGCTCCTACTCTGATAGTATTGAGTCTTATGGAGAAGTTGATTGGATGAGCTCAGTAAACAAGTTTCCTGATGAGTTTCTGGTCCAGTCTCTAGTTTCAGTCTCTTCCCATAGCAGATGATTTCATTTAGTAAATAACTGATGGTCCCATTTAGAGTCAAACAGACCATAAAGCAGGGTATGCTTTAGGGCGGGGCTACCTTGTGATTGACAGCTCATTCTCAGTGAGTCCGTCCAGCTCAACGCACCAAACTCAGATCAAACTAATGATACGCCGTATTTTACTATTTATCTGTAATATGAGATCGTGTTTGTTTCCTGCTACAGACGAGTTGAAACCAAGAGCAGATCAATCCGTCTAAATATGTTCTCAGCAGATTTCCACTACGTCCTCACTGTTTCAGTTAACAATATTCATTGTTTATAATATCTGATTATGCTAAGCTAACTGACATTGTTTACTCATTAGCATAATGTGTAGTAATTTGAGGTTTGTCGTGTTCATTTTAATTGTAATTAACTGTAATTAATTTTTTATTACAGAGCTTACAGCTCAGACATTAGCATGCTAACGTTAGCTTTGTCAGTTAGCAGTTAGTGGCTGTAGATATTTATTTATAATATAAAACAATTAACAATAATCTGTGTGGATGAACTCTGTGAGCTGTAACCGGTTTCATTTACTGATGATACAACTGAAACATTCACGTTAGCACGAGGCGACGTTAGCACGGGGACCAGATTCTTGTGTTTTATGAACAGTTTCATCTTTATCATTAAAAAGCTTTTTAAAGCAGGATGATGTCTGATTATTGATTAATCTGAATCAAGGTCTCTGTTGGAGCTATTGATCCTGGACCAGGATGATCAACGATGAAGTCTGGTGGAGCGAACTGACAGGAAGTCATTCTGAAAAAGAGGGCGGGGTCAGAACGTACCTGTGCAGGTATGGTTTGTTTCTACACCTGATCAATAAACCAGCTGTCAAACACACTGCCTGAAGCTATGCTAACAGTTACCCCCTGCTGCCAGACTTCATGCTAAGCTAGGCTAACATGTCCTGACCGATCAGTGCACTGATTGATTAATGAATGATCTGATTGCAGGGTGTCATTGATTTGAGTCTAGTATCCATGGAAACGCTCAGTGATCAGATGAATAAGTTTCTTTCTCTTTATAAATATAAACTCTTCACTTAAATAATTATTGATTATTTAATGTCCATGTGATTGATCATCTGCCGCTCTGACTCTGCCCACAGCCTCTCAGCCAATCACAGCGCAGGATTCGTCAGCAGCTCTTCAGAGTCGCACTGCAGAGAGAGAGAGACAGGTGTCACTGATGATGTCACCAGAGAGAGCGACAGGTGATGATGTCACCAGTATACATTATTAATCATTAAATATTATTGATTATATATTCAATTATATGAATTTATATTAGTTTCATAGTTTGATCAATTCAATACAATTAAATTTGTATAGCGCCAATTCATAACAGAAGTTATCTCAGGACACTTTTCTAGACCGAACTCCTTTTAACATTTACAGAGACCCAACAATAATTGATCAACTACTGATCAATTATAGAGATACTGCTGTTTTACTAAATGGAACGGAGCCTGGAACGCTGGTAACACCTGAGTTTAACGTACTGTCTATTATTACATCACAGGATATACTGCCTAACTCTGATCAATGATAATTTATTACCAATGTTGACTAATGATGATTACTGATGATTAATGGCTCAACAGTATTTATTATTATTATCACTCTGATATATTTAATTATTAAGTTATTAATACCCGGTCACTGATGGATGTACATTATAATAATAATAATAATAATAATATTAGTAATGTCTGATCAATATATTGATACGTTATATTTCACTCAGTGAACATCAGTAAAGGTAACAAACTTTAACACATCATCACCTTTCACCTCCAACAGCTACTGATCAATACTGATCAGTACCTGATAATAGATTACAGTATTAGCTGCTGGTATTTTCCCACTCTGGTTATCAGAGATGTTTTTACCTGAAATCAGCAGCTCATATAACATATATAATATATATAATAATATTTATAATATATAAATATTATATATTATATAAATAAATGTTGAGTCTGAATCTAAAATAAGTGAAAATCTCAATGGACTTCTGAACACTGAACTTTCTGGCTGCTGATATTTGTGGTAAAAACTGCTCTGGTGACCCGTTTACCAAACATCTGTTTGCAGGTGAGAAAATCTGACTGAGGTGTGCAGCCAGCGTGCCGCTGAGCAAGGCACCGGCGTTACTCCTACAGTAAAATGAGCACAGAAGAAGAATGACAACGACGACCAATCAGAGAGAAGTTTGACAGTTTTTTAATAGATTTAAAACATGAGAAAAGAACAAGTACACAGGTCGACTCTCACAGATCTCTGATCTGCAAACAGACGGTAAAAAGAGGGAAAATCCACCTTCATCATCATCATCATCATCATCATCATCAGAGAGCAGAGCAGCTGTCCTGTCTAACAGTCAGTGTGTCCTACCTGTCCTACCTGTCCTACCTGTCCGTCTGTCAGTCTACTGTTGATCACCTGAGGCTGCGGGGTCTCAAACACACAACGAGTGGGACATCGTCTGCGCTGACAATCGCTCATTAACTGGATCAATACGACTGATCAGATTCTGACTGATCAAACAGCTGTGTGACAGGATCCAGGATCCAATCAGAGGGCTTCTAATGTTATACAAGTTGTTTCTATAATGTACTCATGATGTTTGATTATTGATCACATGATCAGAACCTTCAGACCGCTGTCACTCAGTTCTGGACCCTGTTTGGGGCCCTGGCCTCAGTTTGAACAACACTTTGTGTTTCACAGTTTGAATCTTTCTGAACGGAAACAAAGAAAATAAAAGTTTTCGGTTCCTCAGCAGAACCTGGAGGAACCAGGAGAACCAACAGGAAGTGACACGTCAGCGTTCCATGGCGCCGCCGCCCTGATGAGGTCAAACACGTTCGATTGAGGTCTGATATTTTATCAATCAATGTAATCAATGGAACATAATAAGTAGCTAGCTTAGTGTTTTTTTATATTATTGATGAACGTTATGACATCATCATGACGCAGTCAGCCAATCAGATTCTCAGGGACCCTTCAGTGATCTCAGATTAACAACACATCTCCCATAATGCATCTGGATAGTGTCTCTCATTACAGCTACATAGTGACATCACTATGACATCATCATCATTAATTATTTTCTGTGTCAACGCAGGAAGTGACCCTTTAACGCTGTGACGGCGAGGCGAGGGGAAACGCTGCGGCTGACTGACACCTGCCTGAAACTGAGGAGATAAGCCCCGCCCACGGCTCTCCTGAACACTGACAGGTAACTCAGAAGCTCCACCCCCTCCCCCAAACAGGAAGAACAGGAAACAGAAACATGGCCGCCTGTCTGCCTCAGTCTCTGACAGACAGACCGGTGTCAGTCTGAGGAAGAGGAGGAGGGACAAGCTCCTCCCACTTCCTGTCCCATAGGCGGGCAGAACTGGAGGGGGCGTGGCACAAGTGGAGGGGGTGGGAGGGTGTTGGCAGCTGATGCTACGTCTCGAACTGCGTGAGCAGCGCCCGGACTTCAGGCGTCAGCTGTTTGGCGGCGCTGGCGGCCTCGGCGATGGCGCGGCGGTACGGCCCCTTCCTCTTCCTGTCGAAGCGGGACTGGAAGCTCTCGAGGAAGGGCGACAGCTGGGTGAGCGGCAGGAAGGAGGTGGTGGGCGAGCCGAACCAGGAGACGCGCGCCTCCTGCCGCACCGCCAGCCCCGTGTCGCCACGCCGCGACACCGTGATGCCGAGAACGCGCGCCGGCCACCAGGGGAAACCGTAGATCTTTGCCCAAACAATGTCGCCGACACACACCGTCCGACCGTCGGGGAGCAAACACTTTGACACCAACTTAGAGAAGACGGAGGAGGAGGACGAGGAGGAGGACGAGGAGG